TGGCCCTGTCTGTGCTCAGTGCTGGGATAGGGGAACCCCTCCTGCTGCAGCAAAGCAGCCAGGGTTCCTGAGTCAGAGACACCCAAGCTGCATGGTTTCTCTGCTTGGCATGTCCCAACTTAGCTGGGAGTGCTGAGGAAGGCATCCTCAGAGCAGCCTTTTGCATGGACAGGGCTGCTGTCCCTGTGGCCGGGCTGGGGGGGATCCCCCACCCGTGATGGAGTTATTGACACGGGCACTACAGAAAACACTGCTGAGATTGTTCACACTAATGTTATTTAGCAGCAATATTTCCGTAATAAAAGAAATCAATGGGCAAGAGAAAAGACCTGTCCAGAGCTTTGATTTTCTTATTTTAATGGCATACTTATTTACTCCCACCAGCGTGCCCATCGGATTTTCATTATGTGGCCTTCGCTGTAAGTGGAGCGGTATTGATACGAGCTGCTGAGTTAGCGCCTTCCCAGGCGGGCCAGCTCGTGTGGGATTGCTTGTGTTTCCCAACAGGGCCCAGCTAGACCCCAGGGAAGGGCCGTGGCACGGGGCCAGGGAGGACTGGCAGCCCATGGGCACACCCACATGTGAGCACACCCAGCCTGTGTGTGTGCATACACACGGTCTGACCACGAGCACACAGGTGAGCAAAGAGTGTACCTGCTGGTGTGTGCACTGTGCACATGCGTGACACACTTACCTCACCTGCACGGGCACACACACACGCGCATGTGCACATCCCACCCAGGTGTGTCCCAGGACTCATATGCGTGCCACTGCCCAGATTGTATGGACAGGCACATGGTGGTTCTACCTATATACACACCTGTGTGCCACCACCTGTTGTGCCTATACCCACCTGAAAACTATTCTACCTATATGCACTCGTACGTGGCAACACACACACGCACACATACACATACAGCCACCCTGCCTGCTCCCATGTACACATGCATGCAGCGTGTCTGCCAATATGTGTGTGTGCGTGTAAACCTCTCAGAACCATCACCTGCTGCGTCTAGATCCATCCACCCTCAGGGCCACAGACCCAGCTCTGGCATTGACCCCCAAAAGGATGGAGCCCCCTGGGCGCTGGGACCCCCCATGGAAGCAGGGACCTGGCATCAGCCCAGGCTTTTGGTCCCCAGCGACTGCAGTGGAGAGAGGAGTAACAGCACCATCTTCTGCCAATCCCCGGGAGCTGATACAGGGCTGATCCTGCCCAACAACGTATCCCCTAGCTCCCAGGACCCTAAGAGGGATGATGCCAGCCTTCCCCGGAGACACTCAGCTGTCAGGAGGAACTACTGCTGCGCATGTGGCTGGCCTTCATCACAGCAGGGCTCAGCATGCTCCAGAGACTCTCCCAGACACCTGAGCATGTGGGATGAACAACTTTATTACTGGTATCTCTATTCAGGTAGCAAATTAAAAAGTAGCCCATGTGCAGGGCTGCTGGTCAGCAGACAGGGACAGTCCACAGAGGAGGAGGAGCAACATGCTACAGGCCTGGGTGGCCAGGGACACACACGTGCTTGGCAGCAGCGTGGAGGTGAAAGTCCTCCACCATGCAGTGAGCCCACATTGGTCTGGCCACAGGGATGCAAGCAGGGTCCACAGCTGGGTTCCACTGGGGCATTGCAGCGCTCTGTCGGCAGCCGGGATCCCATGCCGGGAGCCGAGCAGAGTGGCTGTCCCCATGGGATCTCACAGCCAGGGGAAGCATTTTGAAGGCCGAGATCCCATCCTGAGCTAGTAAAACAGACATTTGGGCACTCGAGGACACTAGGTACGTGCATAGCCAAGAGGCCATGCAGAACGGGGTCTCCGTTAAGGCGACAGACGGTGGGTTTCCCCCTTGGGGGGGCACTGCAGGGAGGGGACTGTGGGAAAGGGACTCTCTTCCAGCCCCAGCCCATCCCCTGGGTGAGATGACGCACAGGGGATCAGGGGGATCTCCAGCACAGAAGCTGGGCATCCCCCCACTGCTGGGGGGGGTCTCAGTGCAGATCCTGCCCCGTGCCAGGGTGACACTATGTCCTGCCAACCCAGATCAGCAGGGGTGGAGCCACAGGAGATGCCGCCAGCTGGACACAGTGCTTTGCGCTGCCCGCAGTCCCGGCAGGCTGCCAGGGAGACGGGGCACTTAACTGGCTGACCTTTACAGTGGGTGCTCTAGCCTGGCTCACCCTGTGCACCCAGCCCTGACGGCAGCATCCTTCTCCTGATGTCTCAAGAGCTGCAGAAATTTTATGGGGCCTGGGGACAGCCAGCTCTAGCCCCTCTCCTGCTGCATGCTGAGAGCACACAGGGGTGTTTGTACACTCCAGCCCCGAGGGATGGAAAAGCTGGACATGACTCCAATAGAAAGGAGGGAGAGGCAGGTAGTAAAGAGAACTGGCGGTCTGCGTTGCTGTGACCACCAAGGTCCCTCTGTCCTGGCACCCCGTTGGCCCATGCGGAAGGACAGAGAGATTTGGGGAAGGCACAGGGGATCTCCTGCTGCCTCTGCTAGAGCCTGGGCTTGGGGAGGAAGAGAGAAAGGCTGGGAGGAATGGAGCCAACTGGGCTTGGCAGGGTGCCCTGGCAAGACAGGCTCAGCATCCAAAGGTGCTGAAGAAGGCATTGGCTTCCAGGAGCAGGCCCTTGGCGTAGACACGCAGGGTGTAGAAGAGGGTGACGAAGTCCTGAGTGCTGAAGAGGGTGTCAGCCAGGGCAAAGGCGAGAGTGGAGGGGATGAAGCCCCGGCCGTACTCCACCATCCAGGTGCCCGCACTCCACTGCACTGACGTGGCCTCTCCCGCCTGGTGCACGATGGTGTCTCCTGCCAACAAACACAACCAGCATGGCTCCCAGGAGCTGCCCCGCATCATGCCCAAAGGGGAGACACCTCAGATAGGGACCTGCAAGGCTGAGCATCCCAACCCATCCCCAGCCTTGCTCACTTTTCTCTTACTGCCAGCCACTTAGATGCTGGGATGCGTTACTGGGGACATAAACTACCCTATCCAGAGCTTTTGGCCAGCTTGAAGGAAGAGGCTTTATGACAAGCTCTGTCCCAAAGACATGGATGCAATTCACAGGGTGCCATGGCTGCTACACTTACCTGGATAGTAGATCTCACTTCTGGTGGTCCCCTCCTTCCACTGCCGGAATGTCCCCGAGATGACAGTGTCAGAAATATCTGCCCAGTACCGACCTATGGGAGGGTAGACAGCATTGGCTGAGCACGTCCCTGCCAGGGACAGTGCAGGAGCCCAGGTCTGAACCATGGAGCAGCCCTCTGGGGGTAAAGATGCCACCCAGGGCCTCGATACACCAAGAAGCACAGATGGGTCTGGCACCTAGGCTGCCTGTGTGAACAGCCAGCCTGTGCTGCTTGGTGTCCTTAAGCCCAATCGTTTCCACCTTGTTTGGCATTTGCTCCCTGCTGAAGTACCGGGAAATGAGATGTCTGCCATCGCCTGCCAGCTGGCTGCGGAGAGTCCTGGCCACACGACATGTCATGCACAGGGACCCGCAGGTGCTGCAGGACACCATGCACACTGGGGACCACAAAGTATTTTCCAACATCGTCCACCCCATACAAGAAGTGAAGCAATGGGCTCCCCGTGCCAGGCACACCACAGCCGGGGCAGCTGGACCCAAACAAGTGGAGTGGAAAGAGCTCACAGAACAACCCTGCCTGCCAGGCCTGTCCCCCTGCTTACCTGAGTGGCCCCCAGTGTCAACAGCTGTCCCGAAGAGCAGCACATACTCGGTGAGTGAGGCGTGGAGCAGGCACATGGAGCCCATCCACCCACCTGCATTCACGAACACCCACTGCAGGTCCTCATCTGGCAGGATGTGGCCTGGGTGCTTCTTTCTTAGCTCCACAATGATCTTGGAGAAAGCCAGCTCATGGTCCAGCCCTGAAGCACCCAGGGTCATTGTAAGTCCCCAGCACAGAAAAAGCTTTGCTGGCCACCCCCCCCGAATCCCCTGCACAGCCAGAGGGTCCCAGCACTCCCTTGGAGGGATCTGCCTAGGGAAGACGTCTCCTTTCCCCAGCCTTCAGTCCCTGTTGACCCGTCTCCATTGCCTCCCTGGATGGTGATGGAGAATAAACAGCACCGAGTGCTCCAGTCCTACAGCCCACCCCAGGTGCTGGGCGACAGGAGGGACCCAAGCAAGGTGACAGTGCCCCAACCGCGGTGACATGCAGCCTCGACCGTACACCCTGTGCCACGCAGGGACAACCCTCCCCTTCAGTCCCAGCGAGCGGGTCGCTTATGCCTCTGACCCACGTGGGTCTCGGTCCCCTGACTTGGCCCAGCCCAGGCACCGAGAGAACTGCCCTGACCCCGGGTTCGGTCCCAACTGGGCTGAGTGACACCGCTGCCCTAGTCCCCATCTCTCCTTTGCTTCAGCCCCATTTTCCACTCCGTTTCCACCGTGCTCCCTGTTGCTGTTGCCCTGCACCGATCCTCTCCCTATCCCGGTCCTGCTGCCCAGTCCCAGCCCCTGGCCCCTCCCTGACCCCAACCCTCTTCCCCCCGTGATCCCGGCCCCCCTGTACCGGACTCCTTGGTCCCTCGCCCTCGACACGGCCCGCCTCTCCACCCCAGGCCGCCGCTCCGCGCCAAGTCCCCGGTTCCGCCCCCATCCCAATCCCCATGGCCATCCCCGTCCCTCCTCGCTCCCCCTCCCCGCCGCTACCCACCCCCCACCCCCGGTCCCCACGGGCGGCCGCGTTACCCGCGTGGTGCCGGGCGAGCTGTGCGATCTCGGCGGGGGTGAACTCGTACCGCTTGGCCGCCAGCCATCCCCGCAGCGCCTGCAGCACCAGCGCCAGCGCTCCCAGCGCCAGCCCGGCCCGCAGCGCCCGCCGCCCCCACAGCGCTCCCATGCCGCGCTCCGCCGCCCCCCCGGCACCGGGAGCGGCAGCGGGACCCGGCCCGGGACCGCCCCCGCCGCGGCCACGCCACGCACGGCCTCGGGCGGCTGCGCCGGCGCGGCGGGGCGGAGCGGGAGGCTGGAAGGGGCCGATCCCGCCGGGTTTCCGGGAGCGGGCAGGCATGGAGCCAGCGCCGGCGGGGAAGAAGGAGGGGGGCAGTCGCTTCCGCGCCAGCGGTACGGACGGGGCTGCTTCCCTTCCTCCCTCCCTTCTTCCCTTCCTCCCTCCCTTCTTCCCTTCCTTTGCATCCCTCGTCCATCCTTCCGGACCCTCAGGTGGAGCGCAGCACAGCCCCGGGAAGCGGGAGCTGCGGGAACTCTCCCCGCCCTAAGGGCGGGTGGCAGCGGACCGGGACAGGGAGGAAGGGGTGAAGCTGGGAAGGTTCAAAGTCTCTTGCATGCCCTCCTCTCGTGGGAGGTGGGTGTTTGTGTAGCCCGTCCGCAGGGGGATGTCTGGCCCCCGCGTCCCTCCCTGACGCCCCGCTGCTCTCCCCTGCCCGCAGAGCACCAGCACACTCGGTACAACCCTCTGCGGGACGACTGGGTGCTGGTATCGGCCCACCGGGTGAAACGCCCCTGGCAAGGGCAGCTGGAGAAGCCGCCCCCCGAGGATGTACCCCGCTGGGACCCCAACAACCCCCTCTGTCCCGGGGCCACCCGGGCCAACGGCGAGGTACCACCAAGGGACTCTGGGGGCCGGGCTCCCCCTAATGCCCTCTGCTATCCTGATCCCGTCTCTCGTCCCGGCAGGTGAACCCCCAGTACGAGGGCACTTTCATCTTCCCAAATGACTTCCCTGCACTGCAGCCTGATGCTCCAGAACCTGGTAACTTCTGGGAGTAGAACAGGCTGCCGGGGACCCCCAAAACTTGGGTCTAGGAGGGGCTGCAGGGTGGCTTGGAGAGACACGGGTGCTGCCCCAGCACCTTCTTCCTCTCTACTCTCTGTTCTTCCCTAGACGACAGTGATCACCCCTTGTTCCGAGCTGCCCCAGCCAGGGGGGTGTGGTAAGTACCTCCATGGCTCCAGGGAGTCTGGGACACACTTTGTCCAGGACCTGTGAGATGATGCTGGACTGAGCCTGCTTTCCTCTTGCACTGCCTGTTCTGTGCACATCTGCTCTATTTTGGATTTATTCTGGAGGTCTTGTCACTGTCTCCCTTATTCCACTGCACCCAGCAGGACTGTGAGGGTCTCTGGAGATACCCACAGTCCCAGCCACGTGTGTTTCCTCCACAGCAAGGTGATGTGCTTCCACCCCTGGTCGGACCTGACGCTGCCTCTCATGTCCCTGGCAGAGATCCGGGCTGTCATCGATGCGTGGGCAGAGCTGGCAGCCGAGCTGGGTGCTTCCTACCCCTGGGTGCAGGTGTGGGGCTGGTGGGGGCTGCTCTTTTCTGGCTGGAGGTGGGGGGCCAGTGCTGGGTACTCTGGCAGCACCAGGGACCGTCCTAGCTGTGCGTGTGTTGGTCCCCTGTCCCTACGTTGTGCCCCGCTGAGCCTTTCCATGTGGATGTGAGGCTCTGCTCCCCTGCGGATGCCTCCCTGCTGTACTGGGGACATCACGGAAACTCGCAGTGGGGACCCTGCAGCTGGGACCTACTGGCTGCACCTCTTCCTCCGCAGATCTTCGAGAACAAGGGAGCGATGATGGGCTGCTCCAATCCACACCCCCACTGCCAGGTGAGGCTGTCCGACTTGTGACCTGGCTAAACCGCGAGTCCCTGCGGGCGACCCTACAACAAACCCCCGGGGGAAGATGTGAACGGCAATCCTCCCACCCTTGTCTTCCATGCAGTGAGGAGGCCCCATGCCTGTCCAGTTACCTCCCCTCCCGGGGGCACAGCCGCTTGTGGCTGCCGTAATCTGGACTCTCCACCTGGTGGCAGCAGGGACCTGCAGATGGGCAGCGTGGCTGGGGGTACTCCTGCAAAGGAGGGTGCGAGTCCCCCAGCACTGTGCCCTGGTGTGCCTCCCAGGTGTGGGCCAGCAGCTTCCTCCCAAACGAGGCGCGCCTGGAGGACCGGACCCAGCGTGAGCACCTGAGGCAGCACGGCGTGCCCATGCTGCTGGAGTACGCTGAGCAGGAGGCTCGCCGAAAGGTCAGGCTGTGGCTGCTGTCCATATCCCCTCCCTGGCAGCGGGATATGTGCCAGGACGGGTTCCCCAGCCCCCAAAATCTGGGCTCCCCACCGAGGAGTGCCCTGGGGCGTTGGGATTGCTTAATTCCCCGTCAAGCACCATGTCCTGCAGGAAAGGCTGGTGGTGGAGAATGTGGACTGGCTGGTCGTGGTGCCGTACTGGGCCACCTGGCCCTACCAGACCCTGCTGCTGCCCCGCCGCCACGTCTGCCGCCTCCAGGACCTCAGCGAGGGAGAGAGGGACAGTGAGTGGCTCTGAACTTTGTTAGCCCCTGTCTCATGTTCTTTGGGATTTGATCTTCATTAGGAGGTGGCTCTCTGGTAGCTGTGCTGGTGCTGGAGGGCCCATGTTCCCTTGGGGTGTGGGGCTAGCAGGTTTGGTTGAGGAGGGGTCTGACACCCCCGTTTTGATAGAATAAGAGCTGGGTATCCAGGCACAGGCAGTACTGCATGTGAGAATAGAGTCCTTTTTGAGGTGATGAAGCACATGGTGCTCCCTGCTTTTGGGGGAACTCCTCCTGTGTTGCTGGTGCTGTCTGCATGGGGGGGGTCAACTACCAAATGCAATCCTCTTGCCTATCACTGGTGTCCACCCAGGGAGAGGTGCTGAGGGTGACACCCCTCATTGCCTGCCATGCTGCTGGCCCTTGGAGAGGTTTGGCCAGCTCAGGGTGGCACTCTTCTGCAGGCCTGGCCTCCATCATGAAGAGGCTGCTCATCAAGTACGACAACCTCTTTGAAGTCTCCTTCCCCTACTCCATGGGCTGGCATGGTGAGTGGCATAGCTGGGAGACCCCCTCCATCCTCTCACTCGCATCCCCATCCCCTTCCCATGGCTCACGCAGCACCTGCACCTGAGGCAGGAGCCCCCACGGGCCCCCACCTGGAGGAGGACTGCAGGCACTGGCAGCTCCACGCCCACTACTATCCCCCACTGCTCCGCTCTGCCACCGTCCGCAAGTTCATGGTGGGATATGAGATGCTGGCGCAGGCACAGAGGGACCTCACCCCAGAGCAGGTGAGTGCAGCTCACAGGGATTGGGGGAACCATGGAATCCTGGAGCAGGGCTGTTCCTGGGACCGGCTGCCTTTTGTGCTGTGCCCCACAGGCAGCTGAGCGCCTGAGGAGCCTCCCTGAGGTGCACTACAAGGAAGGAAACAAGGAGATGTGATGAGGAGCAGCGGAGCCAGTCCTCAGATGTGAGTGTGAGGGGAAACATGACCTCATTCTAGAACTACCAGAAAGGAGGTCATAGCCAGGTGGGGAGCTTTCTCCCAGATAACAAGTGATAGGACAAGAGGGAACAGCCTCAAGTTGTGCCAGGTGAAGTTTAGATTGGATACTGGGGGAAATTTCTTCACTGAAAGGTTGACCAGGCACTGAAACAGGCTGCCCAGGAAAGTGGTAGAGTCCCCATGCCTGGAAGAATTCAAAAAACACATAGATGTGGTACTTGGGGATGTGGTTTAGTAGTGGTCTTGCCAGTGCTGAGTTAATGGCAGAGGTCTATGATTCTATGTTCTTGGTAAGGCCAGGAGCCGACTGGCAGTGGTGAGAGCTGAGGCCTGGGAACTCATGTCACTTGTGACCTCTCTGAGCTACCAGATTCTCCTGAGCCTTGTCATGGCTGGGCTGGGTTTTGGGACTGGTTTTGCCTGTTCAGGTACTCCAGGCCTAATCCTGTGACATCCTCAGATAGGTGGTGCTGTTCCTTGTCTCCTCCACCATCGCAGGCTCTGTCTCTGCCTCCACAGCGTGCTCTTACCACTACTAAAGGGTTTACACTCCTTACCAGTCTAGTCTCACCGGTAGGACTGAGAGTTCTTCCTGCCCTGTGGAGGGACATACCCTCCCCCAACCCTGAACAATAAAACCTGGAAGCAAAAGTGCCTCTGTCTGTTCCCTTGTGGCTCTCAGCCCTGGGTGGGAGGTTTAGGGTTTTTGGTGGGAACCTCCAGCTGCTGGAAGGGGGTAACATGGTGGGGTGCAGGGGATGTGCTGGCATCTCCATGCCTCTTATTCCTGGTCCTGCCTCTGTGCTGCCTCCTCTTCCTCCATGGGGGGAGCTCTGAGTCTGTGAGTGCTGCAGGCTTGGGGAGGAGTGGGAAGCAGGGAGGAATGGATATAGATCAAGGCTTAGCCAGCTCCTGGGAGAGAACTGAGTCCTGGCAAACTTGCTGCATGGAAGCTGCTGGCTGGAATGCTCAGCCCTGGATCTGCTCCTCTTCATCCTCTCTGCCTGGGACTGCTGGCCTGCAGCCCTCACGGTGCCTACTGTGAGTACCTGGGCTGCTGGAATGCAGCCAGGGACTGGTGGGTCATCTCTCTTTGTGGTGCTGCTGCTGCTGCCACCCCCTTTGTCCTTCCCTTTGGCCACTTATAGTGTGGGATAGTGGCAGCCTGGTCCCTGGGCTGAGCTGAGGGAAGCTGCATTCACCTGTTTGTGCTCTCCTCCCTTTCAGCCCTTCCCTCCAGGAAAGTCCCGGGTCTGTGCAGGGGTAGGCTGTGGACAGGGATGCCACCACAGCTAACCTGGGGGGATGCTGTGCTATGCACTGTCGTGCCTTTGCACAAATAGTTTTTATTTGTCACTGAAGAACTGTTCTCACAACTCTCTAATGAGACCGCTACCCTTGTCAAGTCTGTGAGGGAGCTCCTGAGGGCTCGAGATACCTTGCAGGGAGAGAAATGCTTTCCTCCTACCTACAACATGAGTTTGTGGGGAGGGCTGTATTCCCTCTGCCCCATCTGTGCATCCCTATCCTCGGGGCTGGGGCAGGCAGAAAGGCACTCAAATGGCTGCAATGCTGGATGCTCTGCTACTTGCTGGTCCTATCCTTCTACTTGGATTTCTCCATCCCTGAGTGCACGAACCATCCCAGATTGACCTCAGGGCTCCCCACGTGCCTCAAGGTTTTAAGAAGGAGCTGGTGGGTGACCCTTAAGCTTGGAGCCCTCATTGTACACAACATCCCTGCGCATGGTATAGGGGATGCTGGGCTCGGAATCTGGCTTCTTGCAGACTCATTTCTTCCCTCCTGGGACAAGCAGTGTCCGTCTGGGCTCTGAAGCCCTCCCGATCGCAGCCCCTCATGCCTTCTCACCGCAACAAGTGCCTGCGTGCCAACCTCTGAACTACCGCGCATTTCTCCAGGGTCCTGGGAAAGCGGCAACAAATTGGCTTAAATGTGGCAATCCAGATTGGGGTAATTAGCCGCTGAACCGGTCGTAACGAAGCTCGTCATCTCCCTGCACGCGCAGTTAGCTCTGATTTAATAGCCCACCGGCTCCCAGCCCGGGCAGCCGCGCCTCGGCCCGGGGCCGTAAATGAAACTCGCAGTTAAGTCAAGCGGTATTAAACTTTACAGTCGCCGTCTTTAGAAACGAGGCTCTCTCCAGTAAATCAGAGCAAGTGGGATTGTAAATATCGAGGCAGGATCCATATTGCTTAATTAAACAGCTCCTAATGAACAGCCAGTTTGTTGTGTTGTGATTTAGGGTGGAGGCTGGGGAGGTAGCATGTGCTGCGGAGTGCCGGTTCTGGGATGCCCTCTGCTGCAGGTAGCGGCTGCTGTAGTTCAGCTGCTGCTACAAAAAGTCTCTGAGATGGCCTGAGAATTGATTTTATTTTTTTTAATAAAAATTAAATACCCCCTCTCAAATCTGAAAAACTCAAGGTGGAAGCCAGCAGCAGTTAGAGGAGGAGCAGGGGATACAGCCAGGTGTGAGAGCAGGACTATACTGAGCTTCCCAGTTCCTCCCAACAGATCTTCCCAACACCTCCTCTTGCCCTGATATTTTTAGCTTGTGCATGGAGTGTGAAAGGCTGAAATGGAGCAACAACGCTTTCCTGTAGCACAAGGAGGCATCAGGCTGGTGCAAACAGAGCTACTGTGGATGGAAGGGCATTGCAATTCATAGGAACCATCACTGGTGTGCTGTAAAGCCACGAAGCCTTTTATATTTTAGTGGTTACAGTCCAGTTGTAATTAAAAAGTGATTTATGGCAGAGGGATTAAAAAGTCTAGCTAGGTGAGGGAGAGGGGAGTGGAGGCGCTGTGGGGTACTCAGCCATTGCTCTTCACCTGGGAGCATCAAAGGGAAACCGAGGCCCCCTGGGATTCTCTGTAGGGATGTTCCTCAATGCCATTTCATTTCCACAGGGTAGCTGTCAGATATCCTGGGAAAAGCATCCCTGTGACTGGGTCATCCTTTTCCTGACTCCACATCCCCCAGCATTTGCAATTCCTGCCCTGAGCTGCTCTGGAGGAGTAAGCAGGGTGGAGGATGGGGACAGCAAGAGGAGCTAAGGCTAAGCTCAGTCATGGAGTTAATGAATTAAAAACCCATCAAGGTCTCTTGGAGGTGTTTGCACCCTGTGTGGTGCGTTAATAGGCCTGTGAGGGATTAGAAAAGGGATGCAGTGCTTCTGCACTGGGCTGGCACGTCCCATGCTCTGCAAGGAGCAAGGGATAAGTCCAGTAGAAGATGTGGAGATGTAGAGCTGCTTGAGGTGGGGGTGGCCAGGAATTTATTCTCATTTTGTTTCCGTTTTCTGATGCCACTGAAAGAAATGGGTCAGTCTGCCAAGGGACATGGGTTTCCCAAAGCTCCTGGGGTTTTATCTTGACTGAGACAAAGCCAGTGTGCTCACACAGCTTGTAGCAGTGGCTGTCTCCATCATCATTCCTGTCCTGCATGTTTAGGAGATCCAGAACACCCCCAGTACTGACACTGAATCCTTCTGTGGACACAGTTGAGTCCTGGGATGCTGATCTGGGATGCTGCCCTGGTGCACAGGCAGCTTTGGAATAAGCACTCAATGGTAGAGGCAACTGCTGGAGGCACGTTCATCACCTTTGGTTACATGTCCATGCCCTTGGCAGCTGCCAAAGGCTGCAGAGCTGCAGACATGCTGCAGATTGCAAGTTCCCCGTCCTGCCTACCCCTCTTCCTCTCCTCCCCGCTTTCCAGTGCAGGTGAGACAATAAATATTGAGCAAAGGAAGTTAATCTGTGACCAGAGTGTTTTAATCAGAAAAAAAAGTTATGAGTCCAGGCCTGCTGGCTCCTGCCAAAGTGCAGTTTTACTGTTCCTCCTGGTACCAGCTTTATGGCTGTCATTTCATTCCAGTTTTACTGTTGTTTTTGCCCTTATCGTTGAGTTTCTCCTTGCCTGCTGCTTCCTGAGACTGAGTGGGGGTTTTGTCAATGCATGAAGGAAGAAATCAGTACATTTTTAGGGAGGAAGAAGAGAAGGAAAGGGAGGAAGAAGAGAAGGAAAGGGAGAAAGAGAGTAAGAATGAAAGGAAGAAAGAAATGGAGTAAGGAAGAGAAAAAGGAGGAAGGGGAGTATGGGAAACAGAGAGGGAGAGAAGGCCAAATCTCTCCATTTTTATCTAAAAGACACCACGAGGTCCTTATAATTACAACAATTAAAAATTTTAAGCAGATGCTAAACACTCTGGTGCCCTGCAGCAGAGAGCTTAGTGCAGTGGGGTGATCTGCTATGCCAGGAGAATGAAAAGCAAAACCCAGACCCCTTCTAAATCTTGTCTTAGCTGGACATGCAGGAGAATGGGAGCAACTGGGCCAGCAAACAGCACCCAGCTTGTCCTGAGCCATGTGGTGCATCTGTCCTGGGCTTGGCAGCTGCCTTGGCAGGCACTTTCCAAAGGATTGAGCAGGAAACAATTTTGGAGGTGAGTTGCTCATGTCTCAGACAGCTGGTCTTTTTAATTCTGCTGATGGTCACTGGCTACTCCCTGCAATGCATTTTCAGAGCCCTCAGGGACCATGTGATGTGGGAGGGCTGCTGGTCCCAGGTGGACCAGCATGACATGTCTGGATGCTGCCTGCCAAGCTCTACATGGACTTTAGGACAGCAGCCCCAAGGGTTGGAATTTAGTTTCTTAATCATCTGATACATGCAGGTAATTAAATACTGTCACACTGCAGCATCCGTGTGGTCACTAAGCAGTGCCTTCCCCCCATGTCTGGGAAGGTAACTTGGGGCTCAAGTCTTGCCAATGGGGACCTGACACTGCACGTTGTTTGAGCCTCTCTCCCATCCTGGAATCCCATTCTGGAGTCAATGGCCTCTGTTTAGAGCAAGAGAAGCCAAGGAGGGTCCAGATTCCCGCTGGATTCAACCCAAGCACAAGTAGCTGGGGAGGGAGAGGAGCAGATGTGGATGGGAGGGCAGGGGACTGCTCTGAACTAGGGTCAGCCAAAGTGCTTGACCACAAAAGGAGGTCATCCACCTGCAGTGGATATGCTGGAAGAAGGGAGGAGCCCTTGCAGCACCCAGGATCTGGTATGGCTGAAATTGGGCACCCTGGCTGTGCCTAGCACACCCCTGCTGCTGGAGCCAGCTGTGAGAGCTCACAAACATCTGTGCCTGCCCCAAAGGAAGGATCCCCCTCCATCCTGATGTTCCAGAGAAGGAATCTGTAAATATTTTGCTAATTATCATCAGCAATACCGAGGAGTCTGCTGCAAAGCTCTGGGAGTGGGGAGACATTGCAACACCAGGTTGGATCGGGGGTGGAAAATCATCCCCTGGGGTTCACCTGGGCATGAGGTGACTCCTGGCAGAGGCAGAGCCCTTGGAAGAGGGGAGGAAGTGGAGAGATACTAATTAGATGCTAATAAGAAAGTAATTAGCAGGTCTCCAGCCTTGCCAGTGCCCTTGGGCTCCCCTGCCCGGCTACAAGCCAAACCACCTGCTTCAGTGTCCCCAGGGTGGTTTGAGCCCCGTGGGGGATGGCCGGAGCAGGGATAAACCAGCTGCTGCTCCCTGCACACACTGACATGCCTGACCACAACACAATGTCCTCATAAATTACCTTCGTGAAACAAAACTTGACAAATAAAAGCCA